AGCTGTAAGAAACTTTTGCTAAAATCAGTAGCCTTCAACGAAATACAAGATCTATGTTTCTTCCTATTTTGGACTTGTCATGTAGGTTTACTTACTTTCCAGTATTGGCATACACACAGAGACTTGAATCCAATCAGTAAATACGTAAAGGTGGACATATCTTAGACTTTTTTGAGCATGTTCCGAAAAGCCTCCGAACAAGAGAAAGAAAGACTCTAAACAATGCAATTACCAAACATCACTTGGATACAAAATATCAGGTTATAATAATAATAATAATAATAATAATAATAATAATAATAATAATAATTTATATTCTGAAAATAATAATTACAGAATTCACGCCAGTTTACAGACATGATCAATTTGATATAAACAGTAACATTAGATGTAGAGAGCAAACATGTGATAGAAGAAAGTTTTAAGTATACTAGTTCAGTAATTGTTTAGGTAGTACATGTATTACAGCGATCAAATGCGTCAACAGGGAACTTCTATTTTTTCTTAAATGGACAGCCCGTTGATTTATGAACGGAGTAATTAAGGTCATTTCGTGTGCCAGATCGAATTAATGATAATTATCTACAACTCGAGAAACTAAAACGAAAATAGAGAGCAAGGAACAACAAGGCAATAATTACCAAAATATATGAATCAGGTCTACCTAAATGCGTGTGTCATGTGACACAGTAATATACTGTTGATGTTATTCAAATTAGTTAAACTTGCTAGGGACGGTGTCAACATAAAGTAACAACAAGTAGGAGGTTTTACTTAGGGAATGCACTAATAAAAATGATTAAACATTTAAAGATCCTATAATACTACTTGTGGAATGAAATACACTTGCATCGATGCAGCAAACAAATAATGGGAGTGATTTTATCGTACGGATAGATTGTGGTAGGTTATTCATATAAAGAGATGATTTAGAATGAGTCTGTTTCACTAGTGCCAAGGAATTACGGATGTCATAATGAAAGGTTTCTGCATATTGAATCGCGTGATCGGATGTAAACGATAGTTTATGAAGTAGTTTGAAGAAAAAGATAAGATTTAGTTTGAGTCTCCTCCTCCATAAAGGGTCTAGCCCAAGTTTATTACATCTAGAATTATAAGTTAAGGTACAATCAGCTCCAAGAATACGAAGTGTAAATCGTCTCTGTACTGATTCCAGCCTTAATTTATCCTTTATGAGCGCACTGCTAAGAATAAACGTGCAATGTTCTAGAAGAGGTCGAGCACAAACTTTGTACATTAGAATACGTGACTCATTGTTGTAAAGATTTCGAGTTATGTAACCTATTAGACGTTGAGACTTAGAGGTCTGTTTTAATATATGTTCTGTAAACGACAAGTCTTGGGAATATCTAAGTCCTAAGTCTACTACTGTATGTAACCTAGATAACACTTCTCCATTTATGGTAATGTCTAGGTTGAGTGATGTATCGCCGAAGCATATCCATCCACATTTAGCCGTATTAAGCTCCAGTTGCCATTTTAAGCACCACTGTGCTACCTTGTTAAGCTCCATGCTGATGCAATTTTGCATATTTTTCAGCTCATGTGGAGAAAATGAATACTACTTTAAGATCATCTGCGTATAGAAGGGGCTTACCGACACAAAAACTTTCACAAATATCATTGATAAACACTAAAAAGAGCAAAGGACCTAAGACACTACCTTGTATTACACCACTTCTAACAGGGACAGCGTTAGACAATGAAGAGTTAATTTTAACTATTTGATGTCGATTGCTGAGAAAGGAATCAAGCCAAGCAAGCAAAGGATTTTGAACCCCATAAGATGCGAGCTTACCTATAAGAAGTTGGTGGCTAACCATGTCAAAGGCTTTAGAAATGTCCAGATATAGCACTAAGACTAGATATCCTTGGCTACGTAGAGAATAGACTAAATTAAAGAAGTCAAAATGACATGTCATGCAAGAACGATTTTTAAGAAATCCATGTTGAGTATCATTGATAAATTTTCCAGCAAGTAAATAGTTGGAAAGTTCATCACTTATAATTTTTTCCATAATCCTAGAAATAACTGGAGTAATATTTATTGGCCGGTAATTGTTCATGTCAGTCTTATCTCCAGATTTGTAACGTGGTATGATGTACGCGGTTTTCCAACAGTAAGGGTAAGAACCGGTTTCCATAGAGAGAGTAAACAGCTTTAGAAGAAGAAGTGGAATATCTGGACCACCATATTTGTAGAGAAAGGATGAAATCCCGTCTACTCCATGACCTCTCGAAAGCTTAAGGGTATTTATAGCCTTATTAATTTTCATGCATGTGAAGGAGATAGATTTTATTGAGTTGCTAGTCACGCACATAACTCTTGAAGCAGAGCCACTTATGATTCCTACACCATTCGCAAAATACTACTGAAAAGGTCGGCCATGGTTTTAGAGTCGTATATAAAAGTGCTATTATGCTGGATGCACGGTATATCAACATTTCGAGTTGAATGGGTCGGTTATAAGAGGGATAGATAGGGAGAGCCCAAACTACTATCTTATGGTCACTGCTTTCAAATTCATCATATACTTTCACAGATAGTGGGATAAAATCTCTACTAAATATTAGATCGAGTATACTATCGCCCCTAGTTGGGATACGAACCCACTGTGACCAGCAGTGCATGTTAGTGGTTGCCGAGAACTCATCATTACATGACTGACAACTACCGGTACTCCAGTTGATCCCAGGATAATTGAAATCCCCAGTGATAACCTTAGCATTAAAGTTTAGAGAAGATGCATGTATGAATGCATTGATAATAAGATCATTCCCATTATTCGAACTATCAGGAGCTCTGTATATACATCCAAGGAGTAGACTATGATTCAGGGTGTTGACTAATGTCCAGACTGATTCTGGTAAGCTATTCAGGACACTATCTTCAACTTTATTAGTTGTTAGGGTATCCAAAGCATATATAATGCAACCACCTTCTCGCTTAGTTTCTCTGTCGCAGCGATAGAGTCGATAGTTCTGGATATTTAATTCTGAATTAGATACTGCTTGAGAGCACCAGGTTGATACCTTGCATTCTTTCAAGGTGATTAGTAAGCAGCCAAACTCGTCTTATAAAGTTTGCTGAAGTCGTTGTTATCAGCCTGACTTATGTGTTCAAAAGATAGTTATTAATCTTTCCTTGCTTTGATGATAAATATTCTTTCATTTCATCTAAAACCTTAATTTTTCGATTTTTTTTATCTCTTTCCTGCATTTATTACATCGTCGAGTTTTTCATTTCAACTATCTTCCGTATTAGTAATCCTATTTTATCAACTGAGCTCTATTTGAGCTTTACTCACTATGTAATCACTTGTTTCTGACCCTTTGAACTGTTGTCACAATCAATGTTGTAGAATGTTCTTTCACATAAGGTATATATTTACAATATTCAGTCTATTAAATTTATTTACACCCTTGCTATACTACACCAATGTGTCTTCAATATAACTTCCAACTAAGCGCTTTCATGTACGTAATCTAAACTCATTTTGTAATTATGATTTTTAAACATCACAGATTGTAAGCAGCTGACGAGAATGAACAAAATGAAATTTGTACATCACTAACTTGGTTGATCTATGCCGAATGGTTGGGGACCTACTCGAGTTAGAGAGGAATAGTGCGACGAAGCAGCTAATTTCGAAGTCACACCTCACGATCAGCATCTAACGTGGATTACCCCTACGACGTATCAAACTACTATGGTTGCTTTGAAGACCGCATAACACAAAGCACGTTATTATGGAAATATATTAGTAAAAATGAGTACAGAGAAGACAGAAAGACCACCACCGTATCGGTCAATCCATAGCATACAATCAACTGTTTAGAGTTGGTTGTCTTTGACTTTGATATGGATCGATGATCTATTCAGTATTCAGTAACCCCCAACTGCCGGATGATTTGGCTAAGGTTCAATGACATTTCACTAGCCCTATAAATGAATTCATACTATTCTACTAGTATCTTTGTTCTTGCTCATTTTAAACTGATAAAAGGAACTATGTATATGAAAATGTATCATCCACTGAGTTACTAAATTCACATAGTCAATATTTCATATATAACATGGATCAATTTTATTTTACAACGATTTATATTGAAATTTTAACATATAAATCATTGATCATTTCTAAACAACCCTTTAATAATACACTAAGATACTAAAGTAAACTGCTCAATTACAAGCCCTCATAATAGCAACAATAATAACAACAACAAGAACAAGAAATTGAGGAACCTTTTTTTGTTTTCAAAATGAAATTTATTATAAGCAAAGTTTATGTGAATTTTATTTTATTTTTATCTGAAATACTCATATACACCTTTTTTAAAAAAAGAAAAAAAAGAAAAGAAAAAAACAACACAACACAAATAAACAAAAAAATTTTGTTCATCAACAATAAGGAAAGTGTATGAAATGAACATGACAATTTTATGTACTTTAATGACATGGTTAAATCTTAATATGATTATATAACATTAACATTATGGTATTGTTATTACTTTTCTCCTTTTTTTCTCTTTTCTTTTTTTCATTCAATATATAGTTCAGTAATATTGGGTGAAAGGAATTTTAAATGCATGCAAATAAAAATTCAACGAACATTCAACATTTTAGTTTATTGTTCAGTAAAGAGGTAGATATAGTAATTTCTTTCTTTCTTTTTTTTCCCAAAAGAATGATGTATATTTCAAAGGGGATTTCATAAGCAAAAAGTTGATTTAACTGGTTAATAATAATAATAATAATAATAATAGTGAGAAGAATGAGTAGAGAAAAACACCAAGAAAGCCAGCTAAAACTATTTCACATACATATGTATATAACTTCAGAAAAAAACCACTAAGAAATAAATAAAAAGAAAAGCATTATGTAATGAATTTGTTGTAGAGAAAAAAATTTAAAAAAAACTTCAGGAAAAGTAAATGATTCTTTTTTATTATTATGTCATTACTTTTGTTTATTCTCAATTAGAATTCATTGATGATTGTTCACATCCACATGTACAATGATCACTAACCATATATTCATGACGATTCCATTCACAATGATAACCATTAGCTGTTAAACTTAGTTTACGTATTAAACGTCTTACACGTTTTGATCTACGTTCATCCACATATGTTTGATGTGAATTTGTATCTCTATTATGATGATTTAAATAGTTTGTTTGGAATTCTCTTCTTCGTCTATTTGATGCTTCTTTACCTGAACCATTTATACAAACCTAAAAGTAATTGTAAAAATAAAACATAAAGACAGTTAGTACAGTCTAGTCTTGAACAGTTTTGAGTTTATACGTATAACTTCACAATTAAAATGCATACATATCTTTTTTTAAGGACAATATAATGGTATTGATCATCACTAATGAATAATAAAAACAATAATGGATAGTGATTAGCAGTGGAATCCAGGATGCGCGTTTCATCTTATTTGATACTCGTCAGCTGGATGTACCTGCATCTCAGAGATGATGTTCACTCTGGAACTCGAATACAGTACTGTTCGCTTCAAACAAGAGACTGATTAATTGCAGTCCTAAATAACAATGGGAAGATACAAGTAAACAACACCAAGTGAATAAAAACAATGGTTGTGATTTTGTTTCACAGTTAGCTTGTGGTAACTTATTCCATAGAACCATATATATATGAAGTAATTCACATAGAGTATATTTAAAGTGAGATAATCTCACTCTTCATAAATAGTCACGAATGACATAACATGGTGTTTCGACATATCAGATTTGAGCAGTGAGTGGAAAAGATGGTTAATTTAGTATTTAAAAAGAGAATATTGCATTCCATGAATGGTCGAATCTCAACTGAATACATATGGATTTGTGGTCCAGTGTGAAGTGTGAATCGTCATTGGACGTAATTTTACGGTTCATGGGTAGAGTACTAGAAATAAAGTTGAGTAAACTAGGAGTAATTGAACAGATGATTTTCACATTAGAATATATGAGTTAATGTTATAGAGGTTTAGTGTTTTTCAAATCATTAATATCTGTTATGAGAAAAACAGATTATAGGAATACCTAGATCAGAAGTTTACGATTGTATGAAAATTAGATAACGTCTTACTATAATATCAAGTGTTTAACCTAATACTCGTTTTCCATTTGATTTAATTTTATTTCAATCAATATGAATTGGAAGCTTTTAAGACCTATATAAATACCGATAATTGATGTCTCTAACATGAGTTCCATTTTTTTCTCCATATATTTATGAATGGATCCGTTATAAGGTATTAAAGCAATGATTTTTGGAATCTAGCATTTTGCTGCGAAAGTCAACAGTCAACTATGCAATAACTAGTTCTTCACCTATAAACTTCTCAAAATACATTCAGAGGACACGTTTATACTGAATCTTGCAGAACAGTAGTTGCTTGCTTCTATTGGCACAAGTAGTTTCACCACAAGTCAGTATAATTTCGAATAATTATCTACTTTGGATTATTGTTTATTGAAGAAAAACTATTGATTATAAGTATTTTACTTTTTTTAATTTTGCGTACTAAAATGAAAACATTAAAGAGTTATTGTATTCTTATTGTTAGCTTTAATATTAATACAACTCAACACAAGTCAAAAGCATATTTCTCTTACATGCGAAGAAGAGAAGAATAACCAACTTCTTTTTCTAGACATACTGATTAGTAGGAGAAATGATAGTTCCATCCAACGTTCTGCATATAGAAAGCCAACATGGACAGGGCAATATCTTAATTTCCATAGTCACTGCCCAACTTATTACAAACGTGGATTAATAAAGGGCTTATTGAATAGAATCAATGATATTTGTGCTAGCGATACTATTGAAGTGCAGAGGAAGCTTTTGACTGAAACGCTAATGAATAGTGGTTATTCATTGAAATTCATAAACCGCTTGAAGGCTTGCTATACAATTAGACCTATGACGCTTCTGGCACCCAAAAAAGCGAGTTTACATCATGTTGAAACGCAGACTTAAATTAGCCATCAACAGGATATTTTATGCAGCCGAAATTGTCATTATTGAAAAGACAAGGAAAGATTCATGTAAACAATACCAAGCGAATTTAGACAAGTTCACTTGGTGTTGTTTTACTTGTATCTTCCCATTGTTATTTAGGACTGTAATTGATCAGTCTCTTGTTGGCATATGTGCACCCTGTGCGGATGACCTCGATATAGCCTTAAGACACAAGCTTTTTAGATAAAGATGGATGGTGGCTAGCAGTGAAATCCAGGACGTGCATTTCGTCTTATTTGGGACTCGTCAGCAGGGTGTACCTGCATCTCAGAGTTTATGTTCACCCTGGAACTTGAATTCAGTACCGTTCGCTTCAAACAATGGGAATATACATGTAAAACAACATCAAGTGGTTTAAAACTCACCACATTGCACAAGCAGGTGGCTATCAGAACTCAGTAGCTAAGTGGATAACGCGATGACGTTTGAAGCGAACGGTACTGTGGTCGAGTTTCAGAGTGAAAATCAACTCTGCAATGCAGGTGCATCCAACTGACAAGTCCCAAACAGGACGAAACGCACGTCCTTGATTCCACTGTTAACCACTATCCATCTTTGCTTAAAATTAGACAAGGCTTATGTTTCACCACCATGTAAGCGATTGTGTCACATCCCATTGTGTCTATTAATTTACATGTATGTGCGGGAACACGTACATGGGGGGAGCATTCGTGATCTGTAAGAAAGGGTGGCGGAACATATACCCAAATGGCTGCAGAAACAAATGAATTGCAATGGTCAAATAAGATCACAGGATAGACAGACATAATCCTCCATTGCGAAACATTTGATTGAGACTGGTCATAAGATTGATATCAAGTCAGCATTTGTAGTGTTGTACAAAAGCCTTCAAGGGCGTATACTAAAGTTTTTACCTTTAACCTACCCTAGTAATACAGATTTAATATCCATAGTGGTGTTAACACACTGTTTTTGTATACTTTAATTTTCTTTGTTACGGCTTACCTTTAACCTCTCTAGTTGACCTTTTAGTTTTCATACAAAAATGTGGTCTAGCCTCATTTGACTCATGATCTCAACCATTAAAAATTACTATAATATCCACAAAACCCATTCTGATATCAAAATATCTACATATATGTGATCAGATTGTTCAAAATGTATTACGCAAATATATCACATGATTCTGAAGACCTTTGTCTTCTCAATGCATTATCGAAACTTTAATATTATTTAATACTCCTGATACTTATTTAACAGCAAAATTTCAGATCTATAAAACTGTTCAATTACAACTAAAACTTTTCATTAGAGAGCTGTTTCACATTAAAAATGCTAATAGCCGTTTTGTCCTATTGTCAGACTCCTCAGCAGTGCACATCCACGATCCCGCTCGCGGGATTCCAACCCAGGGCCTTCAGTCTCGCGCGCGCACGCTTAACCTGCTGGACGGTGGTCTAACATCAATCAGTTCACGATCTCAATCAAAAACTTAATCTCCACAACCCCTATACTGAAATACTTGGACACAATTCATTAACAAGAAATTAAAAAAACGATAAGATGTTATATAAAATTCTTGAAAATTATTTCATAGGTTGATCACAGTCCAGTGAATAAAGATCTGACTGTTAGATCTAATTCTTTCTCACCATGAAAAATACTATGTTTAGTTTATAAGATAGTACAATAATACAAGACAAACGTTTTAAAACGTACGAAGAAAATATCCCAATATCACGTGTTCTGCTTTAGAAACTCGTAGAAAACTTTTTTAAAACAGTCCAGGCATTTTAAATTCACAAAATATCTTAGGACGGTCAAGAAGTTAAGTCATGAGTCCTCGCGTACATGTAACATGCTATCGAGGATTTTACCTACTTACTTACGCCTGTTACTCCTCGTGAAGGAGCATAGACCACTCACCAGCATTCTCCATCCAACCCTGTCCTGGGAAATCCTTTCCAGCTCCTTCCATTTGTTATTCATCCTTTTCATATCTGCCTCTATGTCCCAACGTAACGTGTTCTTTGGCCATCCTCTTTTCAGCTTCCCTTCAGGATTCCAAGTTAGGCATTGCCTCGTGATGCAGTTTGATGATTTGCGTAACGTATCTTCTATCCATTTCCATCGTCTTTTCCTAATTTCTTCCTCAGCTGGAAGCTGGTTTGTTCTCTCCCACAAAAGGCTGTTGCTTTTTCCGCCGTCTTTGTTAGTTGTTTCACGTATTTCTTCTTGTCAGCTCTAATGCTCGTCTTTGCTTGCTTGTTTGCTTCTGTGTATTCAGCTTGTGCTTGGACTTTCTCTGCTCGTGTTCGGCTGTTGTTGATTGCTGCCTTCTTGTTCTTCCTTTCTTTGATCTTGTCTAGTGTTTCTATAGAGATCCACTCCTTATGATGGTGTTTGTTTAGGCCCAGAACCTCTTGACACGTTGAAGTTAATGCTTCTTAGATGCCTTTCCAGTTGTCCTCCATAGTAGTTCCTTCCTTGGATAATATTCATCAAGATCCCCTCCTTCTTTGTTTTGAATGATGCTTTGACGATTCTGGATCCGTGAGATTCCCATCCTACAAGTGCATTTCGTGCTACTTTGGACAGCATTAGAGCAACTCCCTGAGTGTGTGGAGAATTTTCCTCTTCGTGACCGGAGTATAGCAGCATCTCTCCCGTATCTAGCCTTTGTTGTCCAGCTTTGGTCCAATGGGTCTCGCTGATTCCCAGTACTGCCAAGTTGTATCTCCTCATTTCCGTTGCTATTTGACTGGTCTTCCCGGTTTCCCACATTGTTCGGACATTCCATGTACCTATAAAAATTTTTGCTCTGGTTGTTAGAAGGGGCATTGGCCTCGTGACTTCCGAAGGAACTCGGCTTTCACCATGGAGCGTCATAATTCTTCTAAATGAAGGTCTTCTAACTCCCAGGGCAGAGTTTAAATGATTTGGATAATTTTTTCTGGTTAGCGTTTTTTTAGCGAGTTAGTTTTCTACGGGATGGGGACGCTAACCCCATGCCCAACCCTCCTCCTTTATCCAGGCTTTGGACCGGCAGTAACTCTAGAATAGCTACAGGCGGAGTTTGTCGAGGATTTCGGATGTCTTTATTTATCAGCTATCAACGGCATATTTTCTGTCACACGTCAATTTTCGTAATGTTTGTGCATGTTACATAGCTTTTATTTCAGTTTGTTGGTAGTTCAACTTATTTGTTGCTCACAACCTGGGTGAAAGTTTCATCAGCCTA